CAGCCGGGGGCCGCAATATCTGGACCTGCGTGGGACCGAAGGTCCCCGGGCCTTGTACCGGTGCGGCTGGCGGTGGACAGGGGGCTACAGGAAGAAAAGTAAGAGTCTTTTTGGGAACTCACATTCGGAGAGTCTCACGAATCCACCTATGCTGTCGCCATGTTGTTTGGCTGGTTTTTAAAGGTGAAGTCTCACTATGTTGCCCAGGTTGGTTTTGAATTCGTGGCCTCATGCAAGCCTCACTTTGGCTTCCTATAATGCTGAGATGACAGGCATGAACCAATACAATGAACCAAACATGTGGTCTTGCCATGTTTTTATGTTTAAGAGTGATTTTCCTTTTGCTGTTCAATGTCTTTTTATAGCTTTTGCTCTTTTCCTGTTAATTTTTAGAAGCACTTAACATACTCAATAGATTAACCCTTTGAGATGTGAGTTGAAAATATTTCTCCCAGTTTGTCATTTGTCTTTTAACTTAAATTATGGCTATTCTTTTTTCGTTTGCCATGCAGTTAGTCTGTCTGCGCCTCTCCGTCTTGCTTGCCTCCCTCCCTGCCACCCCCGCTTTCTCTCTCTCTCTTTTTCTCTTTCTCCCCTCCATCTCCTCTCTCCCTCTCCCCACTCCCTCCCCCATCCCTCCTCTCCCTCCTCTGCCTCTCCCTTTCTCTCCTCTCCCCTCCTCTCCCCTCCTCTTCCTCTCTTTTCTTTCTTTCTCTTTCTCTCTCTCTTGTTTTCTTTCTTTCTCTCTCTGTCTCTCTTCTTTACCCTCCCTCCCTTCTTTCTTTCATTCTTTTCTTTTTTTCTTTCAAGTGTCATTCTATCCCCCAGGATGGGGTACAGTGGCATGCTCACAGCATTGATCTGCCTGTCTCATGTGTTTCTTCTGCCTCGGCCTTCCAAGTAGTGTGAACCACAGGCATGTGCCACCATACCCAGCAAATTTCTATTTACTGTAGAGATGAGGTCTTGCCAAGTTGCCCAGACTGGTCTTGAACCCCTGGGCTTAGGCTGTCCTCTTGCCTCAGCCTCCCAAAGTGCTGGGATTACAGGTGTGAACCCCTAGCCAGTTTCTTTTTATGAATTTGAATTTATCAGTATTTTCTGTTAAAGCTTTCTGGATTTGGGATCATGATTAGAAAGACTTTACTTATTCTCAAGTTACAAAAGAATGTACATATTATCCTTTATTGCTTATATGGTTTCATTGTTCTACTTTTAGATCTCTGACTCATTACTATTTTATTCTGATGAACTCTGGGATATAGTAAAAAGTATGGATCTGATTTAATCTTTTTCCAAATGGCCATCCTCTTGTCCCAACACCATTCATTAAAAATTCTAACGATTCTACCCAGTGATTTGAAATGCTACTCTTGTCATATTTCAAATTTTCATGTGTATTTGGGCCTTTTTCTAGTATTTCTATTCTGTTCCATTGGTCTTACATTAGTAGCACACTTTTTTAATTATGTAGACTTTTTAATATGTTTTTGTTTTGTTTTTTTGAGTTGGAGTCGCACTCTGTCACCCAGGCTGACTTGCAGTGGCATGCTCACGACTACCACAGCCTTGACTGGCCGGACCCAGGCAACTCTTCTGCCTTAGCTGGAACCATAGGCATAAGCCACCATGCCCAGCTAATTTTTTGATTTATTTTAGAGATAAATTCTCACCATGTTGCCCAGGCTGGTCTCAAACCTGTGGGATCAGGCAGTCCTCTCAACTCGGCCTCCCAAAGTGCTGGGATTATAGGCATGAGCTACTGAGCCCGGCCTCTTTAATATCTGGTAGGACTACCTTCCCTCCTCAGATGCTTTTTTTTTGTGGGTTTTTCTGGATATTCTTACTTGTTTGTTTTTGTTTTTTTTCATTTAAACTTTATGTTCACCTTCTCTAGCCCTAGGAAAAAATTACTGACATTTTTATTGGGTAGAATTGACTTTTTTTTTTTTTTGAGTTGGAGTCTCACTCTGTCACCTAGACTGGAGTGCAGTGGCACATTCACGTTCACCCCAGCATCGACCTGCTGAGCTCTGGCAATCCTTCTGCCTCAGTCTTCCAAGTAGCCGGAACTACAGGTACATGCCACCACGCCTGGCTAATTTTTGATTTATTGTAGAGATGAGGTCTTGCCAAGTTGCCCGGGCTGGTCTCGAACCCATGGGCTCAGGCAATCCACTCTCCTCGACCTCTCAAAATGCTGGGTCTGAGAATTGACATTTTTATGATGTTGAGTCATCTTATCCAGGAATATGAAATGTCATTTATTCAAGTCTACTTTTTTGTCTTATTAGAGTGCTTTCTATTAATTTTATATGTATATGATTTATATATATCTGATATATGAGATATATTTTTTAAAACTTATGTTCAAATTATACATGTAATTTGATATATAAAAGTTTTATATATATTATATGTAAGTCAAAGAAAATTTTTACTATAAAATATTCAAGCTTATAAAGATATTTAAAAGTAGTATAATGACTTCCTATGTATGATTACCCAGCTTCAACAATTAATATTTTTTCCCAACTGGAGTTCTTGACTTACAAGCTTGGTCCAGTTATTGACTCTGTTTTTATCTGACTTTATATTAATAAAGAGGCAATATATTCTCTGGTCATGGGGACTCACTGAAGAGCCTAGAGCCTAGGTAAAATGCTTTTTTTTTTTTTAACAATAAAGAGGTATTACTTATCTTTGAACTGTTTGGGATAGCAGTGAACTCTTTAGGGTAATAATTATCTGATGTTTCAAAAAGCAATTTATACAAAAACAAAAATTTTAAATTCTGTTCCTTATTAAAGTATGATTTTTTTTTTTTTTTGAGTTGGAATCTCACTCTGTTTCCCAGATTGGAGTGCAGTGGCACGCTCACGGCCCCTGCAACCTTGACCTGCTGGGTTCAGGTGATCCTTCCACTTCACCTTCCAAGTAGCTGGAACTACAGGCACATGCTACTATGCCCAGCTATTTTTTTTTTGGATGTATTTTAGAGACGAGGTCTCACCAAGTTGTTTAGGCTGGTCTCGAACCCATGGGCTCAGGCAGTCCTCTCACCTCGGCCTCCTGAAGTGTAGGAATTACAGCTGTGAACCACAGTGCCCGGCTAAGTATAATTTTTAAGAGTTAAAAAGCATAATTATTGCAAATTTAGAATAAATATCTGTCAAATATTCTAATTAATTCATTAATTAATGATGGAACCAGAAATGATGGCAAAACTAGTTTTAAGTATCTGTGGAATTTGAGTTTATGTGGTTCCTCCTTTTAAATAAAAAGATTGTACGCCAGGCTCGGTGGCTCATCCTATAATCCCGCGCCTTTGGGAGGCCGAGGTGAGTGGATTGCCTGAGCCCGCGGGTTCGAGACCCGCCTGGGCAGCGAGACCTCATCTCTGCAATAAATCAAAAAATCAGCCAGGCATGGTAGTGCATGCCTGTAATTCCGGCTACTGGGAAGGCTAAGGCGGAAGGATCCCCGGAGCCCAGCAGGTTGAGGCTACGGTGGCCGGGAGCGGCCACTTCACTCCAGTCTGGGTGACAGAGAGACTCGAACTCAAAGGAAGGAAGGAAGGGAGGGAGGGAGGGAGGGAGGGAGGGATTGTTAGAATAGGCTTGCTAGGTTGGCAACAAAACTGGTTAATGTCCTATAGGTACCTTTGGGTTATCTTTTCTTCTGAACAGAAATCATTTGCATATCTCCAGTACACAAATCTACAGGTTAACATGTATTTTCAGAGTTTGAACCCCCAATTAATAGTAAGCAGCTAACTCAAAATAGTGTATTCATGAAGAAAATTAAGTCATCCTTGGGTGTAGATGTTAAACCATAGTCTGCAAACTACAGCCTGTGCATCAAATCTTGCCTGGCACTTTTTTAAAGTTTTATGGGAACACAGACAAACTCACTTCTTGTTTGTTACTGCTTTTGCAGCGTAATGACAGAGTTATGTAGTTGCAACAGAGATTACTGGCAAACATAGTCTAAAATATTTACTATTTGACCCTTTACAGAAAAGTTTGCTGACTCCTGTATTAAAGAGTACTTCAGGATGATATTGAAAGGACATATTGCCCCTATCTTGGCCTTACTTCCAGGATTGGGGTAATCTTTTTCAAGAACCCAAATGAAGATTGCAGTGATAAGAATCTGCTTTGTCTGATATTTCTTCAGCCAATTAACCTCTTCCTCCTCTCCCTTTCTACATTTTTACTTTTATGTGTGTGTGTTTCTCTTTGGTTTAGCCACTTTTCTATTTTTTTCTGTACCTTTTCATGCAGTTCTCCCTCTTCATCTTTGCTGCGTTTCATTCTACTTTTTTCCTCCTCCTTAAACTGGCTGTATTGTGGAATGTTAATGTACTGACAGTATTTATTGTACTGGCAAAGTTTTATATTCCTTGTTTTTAATTTTTAGTTAAGGTCATTTTAATTTTGAGCTCTTCTGTGTTTACCTCAGAATAATACCAAAATACAAATCAATTGGAGTTATCAAACTTTGGGGGGTTGTATTTGTTGCCACTCACACCTTCAGCCCCTCTCCAAGTTAAACCTTTTAGTTGAAGGAAAAGTTCTCCACATTGTTTTAATTAAGCAAAAGGATTGGGGAAAAAACACTGAAACATTTTAGTAAATTCTAAAGTTTATGTTTTAAAGTATATTGTTTTATATAAGAAACGTTGAAGGACATTATAACTAGCGTAGAAGATACAGTGACTAAACACACTGACTAAACATCGGTAGTTGGCTATTTGACAATATAGTTTCAACAAGAATAAAATGGTACAAGTGGAGTACTCCTCCGTAAATGCCCTCTTTTCCTAAGGGTTTTTAAAATCCAAACATATGCTTTTCTATTTAGAAAAGGTTATATTTAGTGTAGATATTCAGAGAAATACCATTTAGTCTCATATACTGTTTGAAATCAGAAATGATGCTTAATTAAAAACACAAAGAATTTTGCAGCTTAATAAATAATATTTTTTCATCCTCAAGATAAAGCAAAAGGAGAGAAAGAATAATGCTGACACTTTATATGAAGTTGTATGCTTGGAAAGTGAATCAGAAAGAGAGAGGAGGAAAACTACAGCCAGTCCTTCAGTTCGCCTGCCACAGTCTGGATCTCAGAGTTCAATGATACCTTCTCCTCCAGAAGATGATGAAGAGGAAGGTAAACTGTAGGGAGAGCTTAATTTACATCTGGGAGTGAGGTACTGTGCAAACCTTTAAAATTTTATCAGGAGATTGATAATGTGATATGGCATTTGGAATTCATTCAGTGAATTCCTTATGAGAGTCTACCAAATATAAGAAATTGTGGGAGATTAAAATTTGAGCTTTCTTCGTAATAAAGTTGGAAAAATGAGATTTATAATTAGTGCTTTTTAAAAAATCAGTTTAGTGGTAACTTAATGTTTTAGTACTTTTTAAAAATAACAAATATGGCACAGCTTCCACCTAAGGAAACATTGCTATCTCAATTGATTCATTTTATGGGGGTGATTTTGCTTGCCAAAATGTAGCTTCCACCTATGACCCTTCACCAAATATATCTATAAATATACACATTTATTTATTATTTCATTTTCATACTGATAAACATTAAGAATCTACTTGTTCTTTTTTTTCTTTTTCACTTTTTTTCTTGATTGTTCCTATTGAATTAATTTATTAGTCTGCAGTATAAGTGAATGAGAGAAGGAGCAGAGGAAAAGTAAATGTTTGAGAGTCATTTTCTAATTTATAACTTGATACCATGGCATTGTAGGTTTTTCTTTGTTTTTTTGTGGGGTTTTTTTTTTTTTTTGAGTTGGAGTCTCACTCTGTCGCCCAGACTGGAGTGCAGTGGCTGCTCCCGGCCACCGCAGCCTCGACCTGCTGCGCTCCGGCAATCCTTCTGCCTCAGCCTTCCGAGTAGCCGGAATTACAGGCACGCGCTACCAGGCCCAGCTGATTTTTTTTTTGATTTATTGTAGAGATGAGGTCTCGCTGCCCAGGTGGGTCTTGAACCCGCGGGCTCAGGCAATCCACTCACCTCAGCCTCCCAAAGGTGTGGGATTATAGGCTGAGCCACCGAGCCCGGCTTTTGTGGTTTTGTTTGAGTTGCAGTCTCTGTTGCCCAGGCACCCAGGCTGGAGTGCAGTGGCACACAGCCATCACAGCCTTGACCTGCTGGGCTCAGGTGATTCTTCCACCTCAGCCTTCCAAATAGTTGGAACTTCAGGCATGCGCCACCACACCTGGCTAATTTTTTGATTTATTGTAGAAACGAGGTCTTACCAAGTTGCCCAGGCTGGTCTCGAACCCATGTGCTTAGGCAGTCCTCTCATCTTAGCTTGCCAAAGTGCTGGGATTGTAGGTGTGAGCCACCTCACCTGGCCTGGCATTGTTTTTAATGCATAAATAATAGCTGATTATGAAATAAGGTCATATGAAGCATGTATCTATGAGAGGGTCACAGGAACTGTTCTGGAAATTTATAAAGGAGGATTCAGTTTTCATTGTGGGGAGTTTAGTGGGGCATCATGAAGATTAGTTTTTAAGCAGGGAATTCTACGTATGAGGAAAATTCACTAGACACAAATGGACTGCTTTAGACATTTCTGACTAAGAAATTGTTTTAACAAAGGCATGAGGAGGGCAGGAATGATTTATTTGGGTAAAAGAAATACATATCTATGATTATATGTGTTTTTTTCAAGTTTAGAATAGGAACTGACTTTCCAGTACCCATTGTTTTCTGTAATTCCCATTGTCCTTGTGATGAATCAATTTAGGATTGTTTATTAGTAATAATTATGGCTACCAATTACTAATTGCTTAATATGTGGTAAGCAGATGATTTGTTTATTTATGTAATACTCATGATAATTTTTTAAAATTAGGATTTATTGTTACCATTATTTTGCACATAAATAAATGGAATCTCAGAAAAGTGAATTTTCTGAGTCACACAGCTGGAAACTGGCAGTTAGGATTTGAATCCAGGTCTGTAAGTCCACAGTGTTAACTATAGTCTATCATCATCTCTTGCATTTAGTTCACATAAAGCATTTTGAAGTGCAAAAAAAGCACATGTATTGTTTTTGAAGCCAGAGATGCAATTTTTAGCCCCCTTGCAAAGCCCATTTAAGTCATATGCTATATCTGGGAAAAGTGAACTAATTCCTACTGTTTGAAACTACTCGCCATATAATCACTATTCCTGAGGTTTGCACTTTCTCTTCTAGTTCAACACTGGTTAAAATGGCACAGTAGGTAACAGTTTACATAACTCTCCTCTCTTTAACTCAGCAATAAGAACAAAAGGACCAAAAATTAAGAAAGACATTATTTGTTATGAAACCAGAAAACGCCCAGATCTTCATACTATAGATTTTCGAGGATACTGGTTACAAAGAAATCTGGGCCCAACTAAAGGTCCATCGGGACTGACATCTAGTTCTAATTTATAGCAGGTATACATTTTTCTTAATTTTTGAGGGGATTCAGAAGGCCTCTATGGCAATGAGTAGTTCATGGGAAAATCAGGGAACACCAGAACATAAGCTCTTTGAAGGAAAAGAGTGTGTCTGATTTTGCCCCATGGTGTTTCCCTAGTGTTTACTACAATACCTGGTGTATATTAGGTATGTAGTAAATACAGGCGAGATAGGTAACCCCCAGGATCTATTTTCATAGTGAAGAGCTAATGATAGAAGAATTGTGACTAAAGGAAAGAAACTATGGATCCATGCCATCTTTTCTGTATAACCCAGTTTACAAACCAGGGAAACCTGTTGTGATCTGTTTGCTCCCTGTAAAGAAATGGCTAGAAATCCATAGAACATTTGGCAGAAAGCTAGCAGTTATAAATGAAAAGTGTTAGAAGCTGCATCTGAAATTGCCTGCTCACTCCCTACCCATACACCTACCGTAGGCAGATGGGTTCTTAACACAGTGTTTAAATTACTGCTATCCACATTTGTTGAAAGCATCTAAAACAGTAAACGAGAATATAAGAAAGAGAGTGTAAGATAGATCTTCCTAATATTTCTGGAGGAATTGTTATCTCCTGTAAATTTTAGTACACTTTTCATAGCTGCCATTCCCCCAAAGTGTAGTATATATTATATATACTATATACATACATATATACTATATATATATATATATATACACAATATATAGTAACATATTGATATTTTAATGAGTAAAAAATTACTTGAGAGATTAGAGTAGGCTAGTATAGCAAGGTAGGACAATTGGGGACATTTACCTCAGTGCCTTTGAGCCTTTTTGTCTTCTTTGCCTTGTTATCCTGCAGAAGATCTCTCACATTCTGTCTATTTCTTCTCTGTCTCACCTCCAAAACAGTTCATAATGTCCAAGACACTATAATGCAAAGTTTAATAAGGAGTATCATGGGTTTTTGAGTCTTTATAAATCAGTGCTTTCCCATAATTATCTCCATTGGGGATGAAAATTTATCATGCAATATTAAAGTCCCAAAGTTTGTTTATTTAGTTTAAGCCAAAAATCAAAAACAAATAAAACCTAAAAATTGCGTTAGTAGGGACACAAGGAAACAAGAACTGTTGTACCCAATTAGTTGAAATGTAAATTGGTAGAACTATTTTGAAAGTTAGTTTGTCAGAAAATTTCATTATCCTTAAAAGTATGCATTCTTAAAACTGTGCATTTTAAAAAGTATATGCCACTTGTGGGCATATACCAAATGAAAGCAATGAGATGTATTCATCCTGATTCTGTTTGTAGCAAGAAGTTTAAAACTCCCTCACAAGAAGATTAATATAGATATCTTAGTCTGTATTTTTTCCTCTGCTTTCATTGTGCTTTTCAGTTCCTCTCATACCTTTATCAGTGTCACTTTTTTCAGTCTTTGTATCTTACAAGCTCTAAATTCTAACTTGAATACTTTTCTTACATAATTAATATTAGGAATTTAATTTGGTCCTTTTTAATATTTTTGTGCTTTCTTTTAGAAATTATTATTTGCCATTGTAGAAAATTTATAAAGTCATAAAAGATCAGAGAAAAATATTAATGATAACTCTCACTCAGAGGTAGTAATTGTTAGTGTTTGTTATAGTTCATTTTTGTTTGTTTTCTATTTTTAAACATAATGAAGATTAAGTTCTTCATATTTGTATTTTACCATATCATTATGTAAACATAAATGTCAATATGCAGTTACATTGTGTGTGTAATTTATTCAACCATTCTTTAATCCCATTATTGAACACTTAGGTGGTTTGACGTTTTTTAACTCTTATAAATAAGACTGTTATATGTTTTCGTGCATAAAGCTGTTTGCTCTGGAAAAAGAGAGCATATAATGTGAGCCCTTTAATTTTACAATTAAGTGGTTCTTTTCTGTGATTGACATAAATGGACCCATGTGGAAAGCAAAAGAGAATTAAAGAGAATACAAAAACATTTCTCCTAGAACCATTTTTATTCTCTTTGTATTTATATATAAATACTAAAAGAAGAATTATGACTTAGTACTCCTGATAAAGTCCTTCAAATTTGACTCTTACGTTCCAGTGTCATTTCTTTTGACTAACAAAGTCACTTCTGTTATCCTTTTTTATGTGTTTTGTTTATTAAAGATAATGATGAACCTCTCTTGAGTGGATTTGGTGATGTATCCAAAGAATGTGCAGAAAAGATTCTTGAAACATGGGGAGAACTGCTGTCAAAATGGTAAGTTGTGATAGAATAGTTCTCCTTTTCATCTGCAATTCTCATTTCATGGATAGGGAATCTCACCTAACTGTAATATTCAATTTTGGAAGCACTAATATGAACTTAAGTATGAGATTTACATTTTATAATCTGTTTTTAGAGGTTTATAAGTATAGTAGTGAAATCAAATTTAAGAATATCAAGAACATAATAAATTCCTATTGCTAAATGTGTCTTCAAACATGAACTCATGAACAGAATAAATAAGGAAAGTATCGTTTATATTGACGAGTTTAGGAACCACTTACTTGTTGCGATAATATAGTCAAGACAATATACAATTATCAGGGAAATTTAGAGGATATATGAATAACCTAGAGCCACAGTAGAGACACCAGATAGGACTTTTCCTTATCTGTGGTAAGTGTCCAAAATGACAGAGCAAAGTGTCATAAACGTTATATATTACCTGTTGTATCAGTTATTTTTCCTACTAACTTGTAAAATTCAGGAATTTTTCATTAGCTTAAGAGGTAGCTTGACAATAATGTTAAGAAGCACTATTAGCTCTGTGCAGTGATTCACACCTGTAGTCCCAGCACTTTGGAAGGCCAAGGCAAGAGGATTTTTTGAGCCCAGGTGTTTGAGACCAGCCTAGGCAGTGTAGTGAGACTTTGTTTCTACAAAAAATAAATAGATTAGCCAAGATGTCTATTAACATAACTGGAGCTACTTTGTCAGGTTGGTGGGACATTTATGTAGTTTTTTTTTCTCCTGTTGTTTTGGGTTTGATTTTTCTCAGAAATTTTAACTGTTGGAGTCTTTCACTGTATTCTTAGAAAAACCTGTAGTCTGGGTTTTTAAGAAATTATTTCATGTGCTTAAGGGATAGGACTACAAATGGGCATTATCTGCTTCTAGCACTCTTACAATGTTTTATTTACGCTTTTGACAAAACACTTTCCACATTGGCATATGTCAAATTTGTACAAAAGAAGAAAGCAAACCAAAATATGGTTTGTGTTTACGCAAGTAATTTTAATAAATGAATTCTGCAAAAGTCCCCAGGGTAATAGTTATCTTGTATTTTTGATATTTCTTTTATTATCAGGAGACAAAACTGCTGATGCTCTTGTCAAAATTTTCAGTTCAGTGAATTTGGAGTAGTTGGGCTGCTGCTAACAGGAATTTAGTCTATGTAAAAATGTTTCTGCTCTATAACAAGCATAATTATGGTTTGACATGGTTATATAATAGTATATTTAAAATCATTTAGATTTAGCATTAAAACGCTAGTTAGATTTTATTAGATGAACCTACCAGCATTTTATACAGTGAATTGGAATTTGTTTTGTTACTAAGCTTTGTTAATCATTCTGTTATTCATTGAATCAATATGTAACTTCTCATTCTCTCAGATATATTGAGTTTCTACTGTCTCTACTGTCTTCAGGGTACTTAAACTACTACTTTTCTTTGTTTTAATCATATTTTCAGGTATCACTTTTTCATTTTATCACTTCTTCCCCATTATTATATATATGTATTCTGTGGATAGGACATCATGGGATTTTAAAGTCTGGTAGACCTGGTTTCAAATCTTACCTCTCCTACTTTCAAACTGTATGGTCCTAGACAAGTCACTTAACTCTTCAGAGTCTGTTTCTTTGTTTAGAAAATAGAAATCTGTAGAATTACTAGTCAGGATTTTTGTAGATTTAAAATAATGGATGTCATGGTTGTTGTAGTAAGCATAGTAAGAAATAGTGGATTTGCTGTATGCGAGACACTGTGTTAATTTACGTGCTCTATTTCAGCTGTAACAACAGCCTTATGAACTAGTGTCTGTTTTTTACAGGTGAGGAAACTGATTCATAGGTTAAGCCATTTTAATTAATACATGTCAGAGCTAGAATTTTTAACACAGTAAAGTCTAATCCCAAAGCTGATTTTTTAAACTACATTAGATTTTAGTGACAGCATTAATAATAGTATCTTTGTGCTCTGATTCTCCAAGTTCATTTAATGTGATTCTTAGTGGATTAGAGAATTAATATCATTATAAGATAGGATGCTGAGCTGGATAAAGTTAATATTATCAATGACATAAAATTATTCTGAATATAATTGTATCAATATAAATTAAGCTATGGTTAGCAAACGTTTTCTGTAAAGGACCAAATAGTAAGTATTTTAGATTTTGCAGACTAACAGTCTGTTGTTGCTATTCAGTTCTGCTGTTATAGTACAAAAGCAGTCATGGGCAATACTTAAACAAATAAAAATGGCTATGTTTAAATACGGTGTATTTACAAAAACTATCCATCACCAGTTGGAACTTAGCAGACCAAGCCTTGAATTAAGTAACAGAACTATGTTTGTTCTTTCTGCTGGTAACTTTCCAACTGTTTTTTTTTTTTTTTTTAATGAACCAGGGGCTCACTCTGTTGCCTAGGCTGGAGGGCAGTGGCATGATCACAGTTAACCGCAGCCTCTGTCTCCTGGGCTCCGGCGATCCTCCTGCTTTAGCCTCTGTGTGGCTGGGATTGCAGGCATGAACCACCATACCCATCTAGTTATTTTATTTTATTTTATTTGTGGAGAAGAGATCTTACTATGCTACCCTGTCTGACCTCAAGCAATCCTCCTGTCTTGGTCTCCCAAAATGCTGGGATTATAGGCATGAGTCACTGCATCCAGCCTCCATCTTTTATATAATGTCTTTATGTAAGCAAGGACAAAGCTATATCAAACTGTCATGGCTCTCACATTAGGGGGCCAGTGTCACAGAATTAATAATTTTTAAAAGTTCTGTGTAGAATTCTGCAAACCTTTTTGAGAAAATTTGAGGTCTTTTTATAATTTTATGGTGGTTGTTTTGTATCAGTAACTTTTACTTAAACATAATAGTCACGTGAACTATTTTTATGTCAGGATTCTGCTTTATTGTCTCAGTAATGGTGGCTCTCAGATGACAAACCAGTTGTTATATAACACATTCCCTGATCTTAAGAATTTAAGAACTGCCTCGATCATTTAATCGACTTCCCTGAATTTTTTCTCCATGTGTAAAGCTAGCTGTATTACCATCTACCTCAGATGGTTGTTATAAGAATCAAGTAAGATATTGTATACAAAAGCACTTTGTAAATTTATGCCAACATTTTAAGACAAGTATTATTTTCCCAATTTTAAAAATGAGGTAAGTAAAGTTCAAAGATTTTAATAAATCATTGTAATGATACAGTAGTACAGTAGAATGTTCTTAGCCACCACAGACATTCAGAAGAGTTACTTGAAGGAAAGTATCATAGAAACTGTGGGAAACATACTTGAAATATTTTAACTTAGAACATATAAATATACAATTCACTTCTCAATTTTGATGTAGGGTCAAGTTATTGTCTTTTACTATATGTCTGCTGATTGGAATTTTGCTCTTTTTATATAAACCATAACCATAAAGCTGTAGTTTCCAGTTTTGCTTCTTTAAAAAAGAAAAAGGGTAGAGTAATAATTTAAAGCTACTTAAGGAACAGTTTTCAGAACCATGTAGTTTTTTATTTTCTTCTACCCAGTCTCTTACAATTGTTTTTGCCACATCTAATTCAACAGCACTTTTTTTGCTTTTTTAGTGTGTGAACTTTTCACATCTTTGTAAATCATTTAGATCAGTTTTTATATTTATTTTTTTGAGTTGGAGTCTCACTCTATCGCCCAGACTGGAGTGCAGTGGCCGCTCCCGGCCACCGCAGCCTCGACCTGCTGGGCTCCAGCGATCCTTCTGCCTCAGCCTTCCAAGTAGCCGGAATTACAGGCATGCACTACCACACCCGGCTGATTTTTTAACTTATTGTAGAGATGAGGTCTCGCTGCCCAGGCGGGTCTCGAACCCGCGAGCTCAGGCAATCCACTCACCTCGGCCTCCCAAAGGCGCGGAATTACAGGCTGAGCCACCAAGCCCGGCTAGCTCAGTTTTTATAACGGTAACACTCTTTAGAGACTCTTTATTATATGAATTGATGGGTTATGACTTTATTTTTAGGCATCTGAACTTGAGTGTGAGACCAAAGCAGTTGTCATCCTTAGTAAGAAATGGTGTCCCTGAAGCTCTTCGAGGAGAAGTCTGGCAGCTGCTAGCAGGCTGTCACAACAATGATCACCTAGTAGAAAAATATCGCATCCTTATCACAAAGGTAAGGGAATGATAATTCAGCTTTGGTATTAATTCCTTTAGAAATTTCCAATGAAAAACTCATTGTTGTTATTTGACATCCACAAATTTTTTACAATTCCCTTATTTAACATAAGAATAAAACTATTATTACTTCTAACTCGGATGTTTTTTTCTGTTGCACAAAGGGGAAGTATAAATTTTCTTTCTTGATCGACTTCACCTCAGAGGCAAAGGATGTTTCCTAGCCCATTGTATATCCAAATCCTTTTTTTTACTGTAATTACATTTTTAGTCAGATCACTTGTGCTATGCAATGTGTGAACATTTTCTTTTGAGTATTTTAATCTTTTTCACACTTAGCAAAAATGTCATTTTTGTAGGGAAGATCTAGTTTCTGCAGTTGGGAGAAAATAATTCTGTCATCTTAAACCATATTCCCTTTTGCTCATTCCTCTAAAGTGAAAAATCCTCATTTTCACAGTATCTCCTGATCAAGTTTGTGCATTCCTCATGGTTTTGCAAGCAAATTATTTCTTCTACAAGCATACAAGGATTTTTTTTTTTGATGTGGAGTCTCACTCCGTCACCCAGGCTGGAGTATAGTGGCACGCTAACGGCCACCCCAGCATCGATCTGCTGGGCTCCAGTGATCCTTCTGCCTCAGCCTTCCAAGTAGCCGGAACTACAGGCACGCGCTACCACGCCTGGCTAATTTTTTTCATTTATTGTAGAGACAAGGTCTCACCAAGTTACTTGGACTGGTGTCAAACCCGCAGGATCAGGCAATCCACTCACCTCAGCCTCCCAAAGTGCTGGGATTACAGGCTGAGCCACCGAGCCCAGCCGCATACAAGGATTTAAAGTAGTTTTCTGCAAGGTTAGGCAATGTTTTGTGCCTTTGTGTTCATGTTACTGGCTTTAGTTGTAGTTTTCTCAAATTCTTGAAGTATTTATCTTGAGGAATCAGTTCTCTAGTAGTATGCAACTCCAAAACGAGTTATAAATGGAGTGCTCAGAATCCTCAATAATCCGAGAATTTTTCAGTATGACAAAAGGTGAAACCTTTTCTAAAAAAATGTTAAAACCTTATAAGGTATAGATAATATCTCTATAAAAGTATTATTTAAAAAACAAAAACAAAAAACCTTAGGGGTAAAGCAGCATTTATATTATTTATTTTTTTATTATAAAGATGTGGGATACAGTTCAGGGTTAGGTATACAAATGTTGATTATGCAGGTACCCTTGTTGATGAGGTGTGCCCCTCCCTCCCCTAGCAATTTCCCTCAACTGCCAATCCCACCCCCCTGACAATCTCCCACTACTATCAATCCCTTTCTTATAGTGTTATAATTGTTCAAGTTTCGCTTATGAGTGAGAATATATGGTACTCTGTTCTTTGTTTCTGTGATAGATCACTGAGTATAATCGATTCTAAATCTATCCAAGTTGCTGTGAAGTCCATATGTTTGTTCTTCTTTATGGACGTATACTATTCCATTGTGGCCGGGCTCGGTGGCTTAGCCTGTAATCCCACGCCTTTGGGAGGCTGAGGTGAGTGGATTGCCTGAGCCCGCGGGTTTGAGACCCGCCTGGGCAGCAAGACCTCATCTCTACAATAAATCAAAAAATCAGCCGGGCATGGTAGGACATGCCTGTAATTCTGGCTACTCGGAAGGCTGAGACGGAAGGATCGCCGGAGCCCAGGAGGCAAGGCTGCAGTGGCCGGAAGTGGCCACTGCACTCCAGTCTGGGCGACCGAGTGAGACTCCAACTCAAAAAAGAAAAAAAAATATTCCATTGTGTATATGTACCAAATGTTTTAATCAAGGCCACCTTCAATGGGCAGCATGGTTGGTTCCATGTTTTTGCTATTGTGAATAGAGCTGCAGCAAACATACGTGTGCAGATATCTTTTTTGTAGAATGATTTGGGTACCTCCGGGTATATTCCAATAGGAGAACTGCTGGGTCTTATGGAAGGTCAATTTGTAGTTCTTACAGAAATCGCCACAGTCTTCCAAAGAGGTTGCACTAGTTTGCATTCCCACCAGCAGTGTAGAAGCCTTTCTTTTTCTCCACATCCTCGCAGGCATCTGTTGTTTGTTTTATTAATGATGGCCATTCTTACTGTGGTTAGGTGTTGTCTCAATGTGGTTTTGATTTGCATTTCTCTGATAATAAGTGAGGCTGAGCACTTTTTCATGTGTCAGTTGCCCATGTATCTTCTTTTTAGAAGTGTCTATTCTTGTCTTTTGCCCACTTTTTAATGGGACTGTTTGGGTTTTTTTCTTTCAGCACATTTGAGTTCCTTGTAGATCCTAGATGTTAGGCCTTTGTCAGACATACAGGTGGCAAATATTTTTTACCATTCTACGAGCTGTCTCCCTGCTCTCTTGGTGGTTTCTTTTGCTTTGCAGAAACTTCTCAGTTTGATGAGATCCCACTCAATTCCTGATCAGAACCTTAGGTATGGGCACTTAGGGTTCTGATCAGGAATCAGTTGTCAGTTCTAATTTTCGTAAGAGTGTCTCCTGCGTTTTCTAAGATTCTTATAGTTTGAGGTTTTACGTTTAGGTCTTTGATCCATTTAGAGTTAATTTTCATGTATGGTGATAGGTAGGTGTCCTGTTTCAATCTTCTGCATATGATCAGCCAGTTTTCCCAGCACCATTTCCTGAATAGGTTCTCCTCTCCCTAGTGGTTATTGTTGGAGGCTTTGTCAAAGATGAGTTGGTTGAGAAATTGAGACTTTGCTTCTGGAATCTCTATCCTGTTCCATTGGTCTATATGCCTGTTTTTGTACCGATACCAGGCTGTTTTGATTACTATATCCTTAGACTAAAGTTTGAAGTCTGGAAGTGTGATACCTCCTGCTTTGTTTCTTTTGCTAAGGATTGTGTTGGCTATTCGTGGTTGTTTATGTTTCCACATGAATTTCTGTATTGTTATTTCCAGTTCTGAGAAGAATGATGTTGGTAAAGGAACTTAATGGGTATTGAGGTTGAATCTGTAGATTGCCTTTGGTAGGTTGGCCATTTTAGCAATGTTGTTTCTTCCTATCCATGAGCATGGAATATTTTTCCATTTGCTTGTGTCTTCTTGGATTTCTTTGAGCAGTGTTTTATAGCTCTTATTGTAAAGGTCTTTCACTTCCCTGGTTAGGAAGATGCCGAGGTATTTTATTTTTGTGTGTGGCTATTGTGAATGGGATGTGCTTTTAATTTGGGTCTCTGCCTGTTTGTTGTTGGTGTATAGGAATGCAACTGTCTTTTGCACATTTATTTTGTATCCTGAGACTTTGCCAAAGTCCATTATCAGTGCAAGCAGGTTTTTGACAGAGTCCCTTGGATTTTCAAGGTGTAGGATCATATCATCAGCCAAGAGGGATAAGTTGACTTCCTCTTTTCTTGTTTGGATACCCCTGATTTCCTTCTCTCATCTAATTGCCCTGGCTAGGACTTCCAACACAATGCTGAATTGGAAAGATGAGAGTGGGCAGCCTTGTCTTGTTCCGGTTTTCAGGGGAAATATTTCCAGTTTCTGTCCATTTAGCAGTATGTTAGCTGTGGGTTTATCATATATGGCATATATGATATCCCTGATCTGGGCTCTGAATTTGTTCAATTTCGAAATAGAATGGTGGATGGGAAGCCTGTTGTCTCTTGTAGTTTTTGAAATTCTACTAAAGTAGGGGATGGGGCACTAGGATTCAGAAATTACTTGCAGATTGCAGTGTTCACTTATTGTGGTATGTGTTCCCTGAGACCCACTCCCCACCACCACTATATATGATGATGCAAAGCAGAAACCAATACAAAAAAACAGCTGAACACACACAGACACAGACATACACACACACACCCCCCAAAGTAAGCTGGAATAACAACAAAGTGTAACAAAACAAACAGCAGCAACAAAATACTAATAAAACTAAACACACACACATGCCTAGCACAAAGTGAATAGGGAAGAAAAACAGAAAGACTGGTTAAAAAAAAGAGGAGGAATTCAGATCAAACCTTCACACATATATTGGCACAAACCTTAAATTATAAAAAATGAAAAAAAGAAAAACCAGAATAACAAAAGAGCAAAAACAAACTAATAACAACAGTAAAATTGAAAAATGAATGCTCAGTTATTCATATACACACATAAACAGAAAATGACAAATAAAAGAAGAAACAGAAATAGAAAAAAAAATTGAGGAGGGATTCAGATCAAACCCTCACGTGCATATTCATGCACAAAGGGAAAATATTTTTAAATAGATGAACTAACAAACAAACAGTCAAAAAATTCTTAAAAGTCGGAAAAAAAATTTAAAAACCCTGCCCTTTGTGGCAGGCTCTGTTATTGTTCCTCTACTCAGGTCTCCTGCAGAGCCACCTTTTTCACTCTCTCCTCAGTGTCTGGAGCAGGGAAGGAGGAGGGGCAGTGGAGGCGGTTGGAGCTGCCATTCTCCCCTCCCACTCTCATATGGTCAGGGAGCTCTCCTCCCATGGAGAGGTGCAGAGTTGTCTCCTCCCCAGGTATGTACTCACAGAGGGTGTCCCAGCCAGGCCTATCCTGGAATGGAGTTCTCCTATTGCGAGTGACTTCCAGGCTCTCCCTGGGTTTGTCCCTCTCAGTCGTGGCCCAGCTATGTGGGTCTGATGTTCAGAGGATTACTGGGGAGAAGGAGGTTGGGGTCAGCCCCAGACTCACCACTGATCTCTTTGGAGTCCTTCCTTATCCTTTTCTGGCCACACCCTTTGTATTGTGGCCAGATTAGGGTAGGGGTTGTGTTGCCTGGAACTCAGCAACCCAACCCCTACCCTCTGAAGTTTGTGCTTTCAGAATATTCCCTCTGGGTCACGATCAATCCCTGAGTAGTTGGTCCGCCAGTCACAGAGATCACGTCTGTTGCTCCATGGTGAGCAAGTCGGAGCAATTTCCTGCCCTGCCTTCAAGATGGTAGTGGGGTGCCTCTTTTATCCTCTTCCATGGGACTTAGCCTCTGGACTCCCTCCACAGTCCCTGCTGCCAGTGCCCTGCCAGGCGCTGAAGTGGTGAGGCAAAGCCTGTAGCTGGCAGTCTCTTCTGCTGCTGTGGTGAGCCAGAGCCTGGGGCGGTAGTCTCTCCCTGCTGCTTCTTCCCTGGAGAACTTTTATTCTTTAAAAAAATAATGGCGCAAAATGTCACTTGGCTTCTGTGACTTGGGAAGAGCCAAGTACCAAGCAGAGAAGCTGTAGCACCAGCTG